CACTCTTGCTCAGGCTGGTCTCGAACTCCTGAGCTCAAACGATCCGCCCGCCTCGGCCTCCCAGAGTGCTGGGATTACAGGCGTGAGCCACTGCACCCGGCCTGCTTTATCATTCTTAAATTCACCTTTCTTTCTCCCTTGTTCTTCCTCTTTTTTGCTTTTTGACTTTCAGATCAATATGCTTCTCAATTTTAAGGATGACAAAAGTGAATGTCCATGTCCTGAAGAAATTCGTGACCAACTATTGGATTTCCATGAAGATTTGATGACACATTGTGGTAAGGTCTTCTTGATTAACAACTCTTACTAATTGTGTATTTTTGATTCGTATATACTAGTACAAAATTAAGTATATATGTGAGTACGTTTACAAATATACACAATACTATTTTAGGTTCATATAAGACTATTTTTTTGTGGTGAAATGGTTAACTATCCCTGTGTGGAAAGTCATGAGGGGTAGAAAAATCAGAACAGTAAAACTGAACAAAAGATAACCTAAATTCTTTCTCTCTTCCCTGTTTTCCTCAGTGGCAGGGAATGGGAAAAGGTGATGGGGACATGTGACCAGGTGCTTCTGGCAGAGAGGTTAAGTATTAGGTTGATTTGGTCAGTAGGTATAAAGTTTCAGTCACACAAAATGGTAAGTTCTAGAGATATGCTGTATGACAGCGTACCTGTAGTTAGCAATACCATATTGTGTACTTAAACTTTTGTTAAGGGGGGGTACCTCATGTTAAGTGTACTTACAATAACAACAACAAACAAACCAACAAAACCAACCAAAACCCAAACCAACCAACCAAAAACCAAAGGAGCACTAGGAAGCTTACAGGTGATGGATTTGTTGTCTATTCCTGATTGTGGTGATGCTTTCACAGGTGTATGTGCAAACTCATCAAATTGTATAAATTAAATATGTGCAGTTTTTATCTATCAATTATACCTCAATAAAGCTGTGGTTTTTTTGAAAAAATTAAGAAATTTGATTACAAATAGTTATATTTAAACCACTTGAGGAGGCCACTTTTTAGGACTGTGCTAAGAAATCCGGCCTATATCTTTTGAAATTATTGAATGCCTGTGGAAGTTTTGCATTGCATTATGTGTCAGTAGTCCAAATCCATTAAGGGAAATCTTCCCTCATTTTATTCTAAGAAATTTTAAAATGGAATTGATTAGGTGCTCTGGATGCGTAGTTCTTTATTCCTTTATGCAGTGGTGTGGATAAGTTCGGTGGTTCAATGAAAGAAAATGAAGTAGACATTTTTAAGTGAAACATACGTATATATATATATTACCAGTGATACTATTTTTATCTTATTTTAATCAAGAGAACAAAAACACCACCTTGTATATTAATTTGGTTTATGAATGAAGAACCACTAAATGACTGCCAGAAAATTGTATTTTATATATAGAGATACGGTAAATGGTAGAATTATTGCTTCAGATATAAAGCATCCCCTGGTACCTAATCATGCCTGTTCTCTTGATCTCTCAAGTTATCAAAATATCACTGACATTTTTGGAGGCAAAAGAGGAAAATAAAAGTCCAGGGACATTTAGGCAGGGCAGGACTATAGGTCTAGGCAGACAGTGTCCAAAGTCAGAGATGTTAAACAGTCTGCCCAAATAGCAGAATTGATCTTCACCCCTAAGAGAGTCTTTTTGGTCTCTGCTTAGTTCTGTATTTTGTCTTAGCTGTCAATAGCCCTGAACACACAGAAATAGGGGAAAAAGAGAAAGGAAAAGAGGCTGACAAGTGAATCTTACTTATGAGTGCTAGTAGGCAGGTTGTTTAACTCAATGCTGTCAAGTGTTTTCAAATGTTTCCAACATTGCTCTAAGTAGGAAATGAAAAAAGTTGCAAGGCATGAGAATTATTTGCCGAAATGCATTTTTTAGAATATTCTTCTTTTCTGCTTTCTCTGCTTTTTTCGTATTAGGTATTGAGCTGGATGAAGATGGATCTCTGGATGGAAATAGTGATTTAACAATTAGAGGACGTCTGCTGTCCCTGGTAGAAAAGGTGACATACTTGAAGAAGAAACAAGCAGAAAAACCAATTGAGAGTGACTCCAAGAAGTCCTGTAAGCAGTAGTAGAGGCCATTGGCAAAATTACTCAACCACTGACACTTACTCATCCTTTGAACAAACATTGTACTACCAGATAAGCCAGGGAGAATCAAATTCTTAAGTAGATGCCTATTCTTAAGTAGATGCCCCCAGGAGTAGACAGCAGTAGCAAGCTGTATTTATAGCAACAGCTTGAGAGGTAGGTAGTAGCATTATAAGGATGGATGGTAAATGGTCTCCCTAGAGAACTCAAAATTTGGATATTTAATCAGAGACTATCAAGAGAAAGTATAAAGGGAGTAATTTAGCCTTCATATCAAAATATTATGCAGTTGATTTTCAGATATCATTGCATCAAATTTAACCTTTTTCTTAAAATTGAAATAAGATATTATCTATAACTATACTTTGGTTCTGAAATATTTTCTAAAGTGTTATGCATTTCTGGTTCATCCATATCTTGTTTAACTAAGAATAACAGCTGCTACTCCTTGAAACCAAATAAGCACCTTTGGACGGTGAGTGTCTTGGGCACGCCACATGGAAAAGGTCTGAGAGACCTGTCCTATTTATTGCTTACTTCTAAGAAGACTCCATTTATTTTAAGATGCATTGCTGGTTTATTAACAGCATTTTCTGAAAATAAATAAAAATAACTCACTAAAACTTTGGCAGCTTTTTTCTAAAAAAACTAATTTACAGTGGGAAACCTTTATCCATAAAATAACTTCTAAATTTATTCTTCAGTGTCACAATCAAATTGAGTCAGATCATCCTTAAAATCAGAGTTCATAGTTTGTTATGAATCACTTTTTATTATTATCAAGTTTATGATCTCGACCTACTAAAATGATAGCATAGTTTTGAGATTTACAGAAAGATATTGGCATGCTATTTGCTTTTTGTATTTGGTTAAAATTGGTAGTTTTATTTTTCCTTAAATAATTTTTAGAAAGTGAAAATTTTAGAAAGTGCAAGTGAAACAGCTTCTTTGGAAAATGAACCAATGTATTAATGATAGGGATTAAGTACCTTGCTATGTATGAGTTGGTCACATCAATCCCACTTAATTTTGACAATTTTACTATTTATTTTAAGAAGTTTGGAAGTTTCTATTGCTTTTAAGTGTTCTACATTGCATGCTGCATCACAAGTTATGTATGAAATAACTTCACTTTAATACAACTTCACAATCAAATTATTTTGGAGACAATTTAAGTGAGAAATAGGGATTCAGATTTAAGTACAAATATAATTACATGGTTCCTGTTGCAAATGACTCAACTCATCCTTTATAAGGATATATGATGTCAGACTTCTGGGAGGAATCTAATGGGACAAAACAAAGTAAAAGTAATTGGGCACATCATATTAATTTCCATACTTTCAATTACTTATAGGTTGCAACAGTAATTTTGAAAAATGGTGCAACTTTGAAAAGGCTTAATTAATTATAAGAATGTTTTTTAAAGAAAGGTTTGTATATTTTTATCCTTGCATAATCATGTTTCAGTGAAGTTTATTTTCTTCAAAAAATATTTCTAGCCTTTTCAGTTCTGGTACAAATAGAGATACCAGTTTGGGGCTGTGGGATATGGAGTTGAAATGTCTGATTTGTCTTCTCTTATTTTCCTTTTAAAAAATATCCATAATGCCTTTGCAGCCACTCTTCAGCAGTTGATTTCTGAGACGATGGTCCGATGGGCTCAGGAGTCTGTCATTGAAGACCCTGAGTTGGTGAGGGCCATGTTTGTGTTGCTCCATCGGCAGTATGACGGCATCGGGGGTCTGGTCCGGGCTCTGCCAAAGACCTACACGATAAATGGCGTCTCTGTGGAGGATACCATCAACCTGCTGGCATCTCTGGGTCAGATTCGTTCTCTGCTGAGTGTGAGAATGGGCAAAGAAGAAGAGAAGCTTATGATTCATGGATTGGGGTAAATTATTTAACTATTACAACCCTTTGTCTTGTAGACTTTTTCTTTCTAATTTGTGATCCCCACAGTAGTACAGTAGGTACATTGATGCAAGTCTGGATTACGTGATCATTAAATTAGATTGTTTTTTCTAGAGATTATGTTTTTAAGATAAATAAGAAAGTGGATCAGTAACAAAATAATGACTGATTTTATAGCTAGATGCTAAGGTGGCATGGTACACAGCCAATATCTTAGAGTGTTTCTATTTTTTTTAATCCTTCTGTAATGTACAATCATATAGAAAAACACAGGATAATAAAAACACATTAAAATCCATGGTGGAGTGTGGGGAACATTCACCAGCAGGAAATAATAAGGGAGCTTGTCTGTATCTATTGGGCCTTGGAAAAAGAAGGGAGAAAGGAACAACTTTTCTGAGGATTGAACATCGTGAGCTTGTGCTTCCTGTGGATTTGGGCATTAAAGTTTATTCCCCATATTCAAGAGTGAGTACAAAACAAAGATATTTCAGAATATTTACTTACAGTCCCTCATTAAAAGACCTTCTAAAGTTTTTATGCTGAAGGGTATACATTATGGAAAAGAAAATGGAATTGCAAGGAAAGGATTCAGGAGTTTTATACACCAGTAGCATACATACATAAGTAGTGTACTCACTAAGATTATAGACTTCATGTAGACTCAGTCACTAAGAGTATATTGATACATATAGACATATTTATACATATGTGTCTATATATGTATAAATATAAGCAAACATTAATAAACTTACATAGTTTGGGGATGTGAAAATAAGATGAATCAAAATAATAGCAGATAAAAACTATACATATTAAGCTATATGATGCTCATAAGAAAAATACCTAAACATAAAAATGTAGAAATCTGGAATGCAGAGTGTTAAAAGTGATTAAAAGACAAATTCTCATCCAAAAAAGCTAATATAGTTATATAAATATTAGGCAAAAGAGGAGATAATAAAGATAACTTTTGCATGAATAAAATAAAACACAAAGAAATAAAACTGATCGAAGAAACTTAGGGTTGGTTCTTTGGAAAAAAACTAATGAAATAAAATACCAAGTTTTTTCTTTGACGGAACTCACAAATAATCCTGAGGGAAGAAAACAAATGTGCAGTGATACAAATTGTTTGATATCATTTCTGTACATGTAAAACTCAGAAAACAATACTTTATATTGCTTGTGGTCTTCTTAGGTATTTAAAATTATAAAAGTGGACTGACTGGAAGGTTATATTTCAAATTCATGATAATAACACTAAAAATAAATGTACTAATGGGACAAAGAGGGAAAACAGAAAAGCTCATACAAAAAGAGCAATATTATGGTCTTTACTTATAATCGCATGAGTGTGGGTCTTATTTGACTACAAATATTTAAATCTAACCTGAGGAGCCTTCTCATACGAAGTGTACTTAATTAACCAAATGAAAAGAGAGCCCTCCAGGAAATGGAGATCACTTTCTTTCTTAAATGAACACACAATGGTAATTGTGTGCCATTAAAAAGTAAATCATTCATTAACGATAAAACTCAAAATGATATTAAAAAATAAAATGCTACATTTTTGTGGTATTAGAAACATTTCACACAAAGAATGTGATTAGTGAATGACAACCTGACTGCTGGGCAGTAGAATTATAATCTATTTAATTTACCCAACATTAAAAGCAAAGGTTTTTAAATCAAAGTTACTTCATTCAAAAGGAGTTGAATTAACGAGAAAGCAAAAAGGAAAAAGGTGCCTTTGTTTACCTTAGTTTCTTCTTGCATGAAATAAGTCAGAGCTACGTTAGTCCTGAGCCCCTAAGCGTTTTTCTGAGCTATACAAACTAAAAACTTTCTTTATTAAAAAAAAAAAAAACAAGAATCATACTACTCCACTTTCTTAATGTAGCTAGAGTAAATAGAGTCGAGTATATGACTAAATGAATAGGTGAGTGATTCAATTAAAGAAATCGATTTGAAGAAAGGTTTCAATTTTCTTGTAAGCTGTGTGTTATTGTCTTGCTATAACTCTGACAAGAAAATGTTGTATAGACAAGACTCTTAGCATTGATTTATGTTAAAATAGAAATGGACAGAGCCCTTTGTTTGCAATGAGTGATACTTTGTCCTGAACACTAAGACCCTTAGAAATACCTTGACACACATTTGGCAGGAATATATAATATAATGCAGTAATGATAATATGAACATCTTAAATATCATCTGCTGCTGTCTCTTTAAATTGAGCATTCATTTTAATGGTTGAATTACTTGTGCCTGGACTTCACATGTATTCAGTTTCTCTTGGAGAATGAATATGCATCCTTTAAAGCATTTTGCCAGAATGATAATATGAATGTAACAGGGAATACTGCTGTTATTTTACATATAAATGTTGAATGTAGTTCTAAAAATAGCACATATATGAAAAACAGATACTTATATATCGAGAATTTTTATAGGAATTTTTTTTGTAATAAGCATTGTATAAGACTGATTTATGTTTTCCTACAGAAGGTTGGATACATGGTTGGATATCCACAAAATTAGGAATGATGTGTCCAAAATATATTTCATGCAAACTAGTGTTTACATATTTAGTATATTTCTTACAATTGAAAAGAATAGACACTTACATACCGATTTTGGTAGACAATCAATATTTTTGAGGACAACTCAATTACACTCATTAACTTCTGTAGCTGAACTATGATTGCTCTTACTTTTCAATTCACATAAATTATTTATAAAAGATTTATCAGAATCTCAGATAAATCATATTTAAATTTTGTTCTGAGCTCTGTGCTTTCCCCTATACCTATATTGTTTTTTCTAGGGATATAATGAATAACAAAGTGTTTTACCAGCACCCCAATCTCATGAGGGCACTGGGGATGCACGAGACCGTGATGGAGGTCATGGTGAACGTCCTTGGAGGTGGAGAGTCCAAGGTAAAGGGAGTCTTTGATCCTAGGGATTCTATTTGGTATACTGTCCTGGAGTACATGGATTGCCGGTTCTGAATGAGAATTTCTTCAATCCTTAGGAAGACTGTTTTTTAAAGAACAATTTTTGAAAAAAACACACAAACCTTAGAAAGTTGGATGTGCTACTAGTTTTTTTCCCCCTTGATATTGATAAAAGTTTCTGCCTTATGTAATTTGTTGTCTCCTAAATTATTCTCACTTAGGGGATATTTAGAAACTTTAAAAGTTACTATATATATCAATTTATTTTAAAATTTTGAATTATAAGTCACATCCCCATCACATTACAAGCCCACAACACAAGCATGTTCTTCAGACTGAGCCATTTCTCATGATGATTCAGACAATGGTTGGTTTCACCAAATTTCTGATCAGGTCAAGATTTGATGATGATGCTCTGGAATGTATTTGTCATAAGACTCTACATTGAACTTTTAAGTGACCACAATTTTAAATAAAATTTCTTGAAAAATGAAATTGTAAAATAGTATAATAAACAGCTTCATATAAATCAGTATAATTTCATAACCTCTGATATGCAAAATATTTCTATATTTTAAATCTTAAGATGTATTTTTCACAATATAGAAATTTCACAATATAGAAATCTATATTTCCCATGTTTAATCTGTCCACCAGTTAGATGGACTTATAAAGATGTTTATAATATACAGTATTCTGTTCAGGAAGGACTCCAGAGAGCATCTGGGATATCCTGTGACAAGATTTGGCCCTCCAGGGAGATGTGTTTGGTGGGGCCAACCAGTCAGGCCTTCTAATCTGGGGACTCATCTCAGCAGATACAAATCAGGGTGGTTGTAAATCCCTGGAATTTCAGTAGTAGTAGCAGCAGTAATAATAATAGTCATAATAATCATAATAATAATACTGATAAGAACACCTTACTATGTGGTACCAAGTCCTGAACTATATATTTTTCAGAAATTATCTCAATGAATCTTCTCCCTCCCTTGCCTAAAGTATTTTTATGCATATTACATTAATAGAACAGAACCGAAGAGATTGCATAATTTCCCCAAGAAAGCACAGCTTCTGGTGGTAGTCAGGAATCGCAACTGAGTCTGCCTGATTCCTAACCCAGGCTTATGCCACCTTTGACTTTAGGGCTATAAGTTAATTCCAGATGCCACCCATTGATGGTAATGAGGTTTCTGAGTTAGTGTTAGGCTTGATTTTCAGTGGTTCAAGGGTGAATCAGCATCTACACATTTGAAGGTCTTCAGTATCTGAAGTTTGGCACACATGGGCACACATGGATTGACAATGTGATTAAGACCTCAACTTCTGAACTCTATTTTCTAAAGACTGTTTGCTTTCCCAAGCTAACTAAATTCTGTGTGTGTAGGAAATCACCTTTCCGAAGATGGTGGCCAACTGTTGCCGTTTTCTCTGTTACTTTTGTCGTATAAGTCGGCAGAATCAAAAAGCTATGTTTGATCACCTCAGTTATTTACTGGAAAACAGCAGTGTTGGTCTTGGTAAGTAAATCTATGACTTTTGTATAATCTTGAAGATTAAATAATATATATATTACATTTAAAAATTAAACTTTTAGTTAAAAAAATTGGCAAAGGATGTGAATAGACATTTCTCAAAAGAAGACATACAAATGGCCGACAGGTATATGGAAAAATGCTCAACATCACTAATCATCAGCAAAATGCAAATCGAAACCACAATGAGCTATCACCTCACACCTTTTGGAATTTCTATTATCAAAAACACAAGTGTTGGCAAGGGTGTGGAGAAAAGGGAACCCTTACACACTGTTGATGGGAATGTAAATTAGTACAGCCCTTTTGGAAAACAATAAGGAGGTTCCTCAAAAAAATTAAAAATAGAACTGCCATGTGATTCAACAATTTTACTTCTAGGTATATAGTGAAAGGAAATGAAATAAGTATGTCAAAGAGATATCTACACTCTCCTATTCATTGAATCTTTATTAACAATGGTTACGATATGGAATTGACAGAAAAATGTGATATGTATACACAATGGAATACTATTCAAACTTAAAAAAGAAGAAAATCTTGTCATTTACAACAACATGGATGAACCTGGAGGACATTATATTAAGTGAAATAAGCCATGCATGGAAAGACAAATACCACATAATCTCACTTTTATGTGAAATCTAAAACAGTTGAACTCACAGAAGCAGAGAATAGAATCATGGTTACCAGGGGCTGGGAGGAAGGGGCTGGGGAGATGTTGGTCCCAGGATACAAAATTTCAGTTAAATAGGAGAAATAAGGTCAAGAGACCTATTGTACAACATGGTGACCACAGTTAATACCAATGTGTTTTATTCTTGAAAATCACTGAGAATAGATTCTGAGTGTTCTCACCAGAAAAAATGAGAAATATGTGAGATAATGCATATGTTGATTAGCTCAATTGAGTCATTCTACAATGTATACATCTTTCAAAACATCATATTGTATATGATAAATACATACAATTTTTGTCAATTAAAGATAAATACTTTTTTCAAAAAATTAAACTTTGAATCAATTTATATTTGTATAATATGTATGATATTTAGAAATTAAATTTCAAGAGTTAATGTATTTTTATATGGAATCCATAGTTACAACACAATTCAGCTTTTATTTCAACTTCATTTGAATTAACAGCCTCGCCAGCTATGAGAGGTTCAACACCACTGGACGTGGCAGCAGCCTCAGTGATGGATAACAATGAACTCGCCTTAGCTTTGCGCGAGCCAGATCTGGAAAAGGTGAGTGACATTCCTGCCTCATGTGTTTGTGTGAATTATGCTTGTTCATAGTTCTTGCTCAGTTTGTTTAAATATAAATAACTATATCATAGTGATATTAGAATTACAGTGTATTATAATTGACATTATACATTTTATAATATGTTAAATATTACATTATGCATCATTCTTCTATATTGTATATGATGTTGTGGTTAGAAGTTATGAAGAACAAGAAGTTTGAGATAAGGCATTTCCTCTGATCACAAGCATTTTTCTGTAGAACAGGAATCAACCTACTGTTTCTGTATGCTTGTATGTTTTTGTCTTTTCATGATTTCTGCTGTTACTTTTGCTTTAATTCTGCAATTTCAGTTTCTTGAAAGGTTGTTTTAACATCTAATCTGTACATTTTGTGTCATATATACATATATCCCAGCGCAAGGCATCAGTGATATACTAAGGCCATGTGCTGTAAGCATATTAAGCCACAAATACATATGCACTGCTTATAACAGTTTTATTCATCATAGCCAAAAACTGAAAGCAGCTCAAATATCCATCAACGTATGAATTGAGAAACAAAACTGTGGTATACCCGCATAGAGTGGAACGTTATTCAGCAATGAAAAAGAATGAAATACTGACATATGCTACAATGCGAATGAATCTCAGAAATCACTATGCTAAGTGAAAGAAGTCAGGCACAGAAAGATATATGCTATATGATTACATGGGTAAATGTTCTAGAAAAGATAAGCTGATTTATAGTGAGAGACAACAGATTGTCTGGAACTAAGTGTGAAGGGAGAAAGGGACTGCTGAGGCCACAGTGGATCTTTGAGGAGTGATAAAAATGTTCTGCATTTGGATTTGGTGCATTTTTACAGTTGTATACATTTCTCAAAGCTCCTTGAATTTATATTTGAAATAGATTGTTGTACATCAGTTATACCTCTATATAGTTGATATAAACATTTTTAGCTGTATTATTTATTTTTAAAACTCATTTAACTTGAGGTGCATGTAACTCAGTTTGATCAGTCGTCCCTCTAACAGCCTTATTTCCATTGATAATGACTTCTTTAGGGATTTCTTTTAAAACTGAATCTCTTATGAAATATTGTAGAGGACCAACATTCATATAAAACAAAATATTTTAAAAGGTAAAGCTGGGCAGAAATATATAATGTGCTAACTTCAACAATGCTGAAAAGTGAGTAGTAGTATCACAAATTTTGCAGTTACTGAAACTTTGGCTCAAAAAGTATAAGTAACTGTCTCAAAATGATGCAGCCAATAAGAATAAGTAGGTCTGATTTGAGCCAAGGCTGTTTGAATCTAAGCTTAGGTTTTCTTTCTTTCTCTATGTGTCTTCTCACACCTGCTCCCCCATTAAATATATCATTTTGGAAATAATTTACCTCTTTAAAATATCTTTGCATCTCAGACTGGGTGAGTAGCTCAAACCTATAATCCCAGCTCTTTGGGAAGCTGAAGCAGGAAGATCACTTGAGGCCAGGAGTTCAAGACCAGCTGGGACAACATAATGAGACCCTATCGCCACACACACACACACAAAAATTAGCTGGGTGTGGTGGCATGCACATATGTTCTAAGCAACTCAGGAGGCTGATGCAGGAGGCTTGCTTGAGCCCAGGAATTTGAGGTTACAGTAAGCTGTGATTGTGCCACTGAACTCCAGCCTGGGCATCAGAGTGAGACCCTGTCTCAAAAAAAAAAAAAAAAAAAGCTTTGCATCTCAGATTAGATCCTTTAGTGTCTCTCTCAGATGGATCCTGCTACATTGGGCTAGAGGTCATTTTTGAAGTTTATCAAATATTGTGACTTTTGTAAGTCAGTGTCTCAAATGATATAAAATTCAGGCATATTTTTCTTTCATAGGGTTTATTCATAAATATTTTATTATGATGACACTGATTACAATATTTTAAATATATCTTAATTCTAAGGTTTTACTAAAGGGAGTTCAGTGGATAATCATGAAATTAAAAGGAATTGGCAAAATTGCATTTGTTTTGAACCATCCTTTGAGGATATCATTTACCATACCTAGTGTAAGCGTTTAATGACTTTTCATCCAAGGAATAAGACTTTGCCAATCATCCTGTTTGTAGGTAGTTCGTTATTTGGCTGGTTGTGGACTGCAGAGTTGCCAGATGCTGGTGTCTAAAGGCTATCCAGACATTGGGTGGAATCCAGTTGAAGGAGAGAGATATCTTGACTTTCTCAGATTTGCTGTCTTCTGTAACGGTAGGAACTGATTGCTTGAGTTCTTTTTGGGTTATTATTAAAACTGCATAAAAATCGATACACATAATAAGGATTCGTTCCCACATTTTGATGAAGGAACATGAATATTATTAAAAGATTACATCTTTTATAATCGATAGGGCTTTTTCACTGTAATAGTTTATTATACGTTTGTTTTGATAGTACTTTATAATTTAAAATCTTTAAGTGCCTGAATTCTTATAAATTTTTTAATTGGATTCTAATAATAGTTGGGATTATGACATTTCCATTAACAAGTTAATGAGAATGAGTAGTTCATGCCTCTATAATGTTTTACTTTGAAAATTTTAAGTACCAGAAAATGCTACTGCATCTGGCATACATAAAACTAGTAATTTGGATTAAATTTTGGCTTTACTAGTATGTCCTTGGGTTTCAGTTATTTTTTTAAATTAGAAATTGTTAGTATAACATCTATTTCCTCAGAATGTCTGTATGATATTCCGTGTTTACGTTATCTTCCCCATTTGACCTTAGGGGAGAGTGTGGAAGAAAACGCAAATGTCGTGGTGAGATTGCTCATCCGGAGGCCCGAGTGTTTCGGTCCTGCTTTGAGAGGGGAAGGTGGGAATGGTCTCCTTGCAGCCATGGAAGAAGCCATAAAAATAGCCGAGGATCCTTCCCGAGATGGTCCCTCACCAAATGGTGGATCCAGTAAAACACCGTAGGTCTAATATCATACACACCGTCTCGTGTGACTTATGCTACTTGACTTGAAATTTTACAAAACATATTTTGCTTTCTGTGAACTCTAATATAACTTGTGGTACTAAAGATTTCTCCCCTTGAAAACAGAATACCTTAGACTTGGAAGAATGGATGGAATTTGCTGCTGGAATAGCATTAAAATGACAGAGAGAGAGCTGAGGAAGATGGTATCGATTTAGCAGAGAGAAATTTAGGTTGTAGAAGATGCATTTTGTGGATTTTCCCAGGGGAATTAGGGCAAAGTGGGTTGTTACAAATGCTGGGAGGTGAGCCTTTGGACGTGAACTGGAGTTTAGTGGGAAGTTAGAATGCGTTTTTATGATAATAGAGAGAAAGAGACCTTTAGCAAGAGAGTAGGGGACTTGGCTAAACTGGTATGTTTTGGTAAAGTAAAGATGTCTGTGTGAGGAGTAGAATGATTGGTGAAGATACAGGAGAGAGATGGGGAGACAGTCACTATCTTACATTTCTCCATCGTGTATGTTGTTAATACCAGATCCCCGTAATGGACATAGTCGATCCAGGCATGTTGTTTATCTGTGGCTTCATGGTTTTTTTATCTGTGGAGATAAATGTCCTTCACAGGGGTTATGCATCATACTGCTAGTGTCTCTGGTAAAAATATAATGTGGGGCCTTTACTGGGGGCAAATTTTCGAGCAAAAAGTAGTAGAGTCCATGCAGTCCTGCAAACCCTCGTTCTTTCACGTATAGACTTGGTGTCAATGTTCTCTTTACACCACAGCTAGATTTCCGGACTGGGAGCATTGCAAGAGCAAGAACAAGCGCTCCCTGTCACACACACACCATGTGACATGTTTATCAGTTAGCCGTAGAGGAACCAGGGAGCCTCGAGTTTCTCTCAGTCATAGAAAATGTATCCAGAGATCTCTGTTGCAGGACCACACTAGTGAGTGTGCACCCAAGGGCCCTGGGAACAGCCTTACATGCCCAAGAATGAGGTTGTCTGACAAGGCCTTGCTGTCACTCTGCAGATGGCTGTATCCAGCTGAGGCAGCTGTCTGCCAAGTTACCAAGGAGGAAGGACGTGAGCCTCCAGGGTTACCCAGATTTGTCACTCGTCAGCAAGATTATAAATATTTATGTTTTTGTTACAGAGATGGGGAGGGAGCCATGTTGGATTATTTGGTGGGAGCTTGGGGGGAGGTAGGTAGTTGGTATAGCGGTAGGTGAGGAAGTGCAATAACATTTATAAAGTACTTGCTCTGGGCAAAGCACTGCATTGGGTGCCTTACATGTGCTATCTTGTATGATATGTTTGTCACGCTTTCTCTACATGTGTGCTATTTCCAAAAGTTGTTTAAACATAACAGTCCCTCCATCAGTAATTTGCTTTGTTAATATGCTCTTTGCCACTAGAAAAAGGAGCAGAATGCATCCAATTAGCAATTCCTCTTTTTCCCTTTTGTAGGAATCTTAATACTAAATACCAGAATCTCAGATCTGATCTTTAATCCATTGTTATTTTCCTTTAAAAATGCAAGCTGTAAGTTTAAAACATATGTGAAAAATATCAGAAGAAAAAGAATGTTTAACCTTGTGGTCCCTTTTGTTCTGAGAGATATGTAATAACTGTGAAATGTCAATTACCCCATTTGCTTTCTATTTCTTTTGAAACATCCATGAAAGTGACACAGAAGAGGAGGAAGATGACACTATCCACATGGGGAACGCAATCATGACCTTTTATGCAGCTCTGATCGACCTCTTAGGACGCTGTGCTCCTGAGATGCACGTGAGTGCTTTGGGACTCAGGAGCTTCTGTAGCTGGAAAAGCTCACAGCGGCGTCCAAAACCAATAATCTTCATGCTCCATTAGAAATAATAGCTGCAGTCTAATTGCTGAACAAATGTTTGTTTAGTTGGAAATATCTTGTTGGTTGTAAAAATTAGTAAGGAGATTTCAGTACAAGGCATTAATAGAATACTTAGGTACTCATATATCTCTAAAACTCATATAGCCTCCCCTCATTTTAAGAAGAAAATAACATATCTTCTCTACACAATTTCTTCTCCTATTGGAGTACATACAGAAAGCAACCACTCGGCCGAAAAGTCATTTTCTTTTGTACAATATTAGCTCTATGTATTTGCCACTGATTTAGGGGTCAGTGAGGGGGGGTAGTGATGGATGCAGGGAGAATAAGAGCTCTTCAGACCGTGTAGATTAGTGTTCTCTAAAACTTTTTGACCGAAATGAATTAAAGTTTCATGGAATAATACTTTTTTACCCCACAGTACATTCTGATACTTTCTTCTGCATTTTATTCTAGTTGATGCTGTGTTGTTCTGTTACATTTATTTAAGAAATCCTAGTGAGGGCCCATCAAATTAGCTTCAGGACTTTTTAATGAGACACAAACCCAGAGTTTGAAACACATTGACTGGTGCTAGTGTAGAAGGGTTAAGAACTACAAGTACATTTCTAAACTGGGGTGCGCATGAAGCCAGAGGGCTTTTCTTATAGAACACCCCTTTCTCCCTGCCCTTAGTATCCGTGTTTGTTTTGATTTGGTTTAGTTTTTGTGGGCTCTTTCTTTTATACCCATAGGTTAAAACTTACTTGCTATACTCTTTTTTTGTGTGAACAGAGAGGAATCACAGAATGGAGAAATGTTAGCATGATAGAAAACTAACTTAGAGACTGATTTTTGAAAAAACTTAATCTTTGCTGCTAACAAGATTTTTTTTATCTTAGCACTATAAATGGGAGCAGATTATCAAACATTTGTCTGCTGGAGGTGATTGCAGACAAAGAGAAAGCTTGCTTACAGCATTTGTTCTTTTTCCCATCTCAGTGAAAAGATCAGGAAAACAAAGAGAAATACTAATAGAAGTTTTCATTCTATTAAGAGGAGGAGTTAAGTGGATTAACAAGGGACTAACCTTGGTATTTCTGAAATTTATTCATCTTTGCAAGTATTAGTTGAGGTCTCCTAGGCATCAGAAATTGTGTTTGAGTTTCACACCCTGAAGGTGATGGAGGAACTGGATGCCCATCCTGGTCTGACTGCAGGCAGAGAATTGTTCAGAGTCAGTTCAGAGAATCGCAGAGATTCTTGACTCCATCTTGATCCACAGTCATCGTGGGGACTTTATTAGCCTGTTTCAGTCTAAAAGAACTGTGAGGGTTTGTGTTCACCATTTCTTCCACATTGCAAATCTAGCCTTGGGAGAAATCAGGGTGGAATATAGCTGGATATGCAGTTAATTGCTCATCACAAAGCAAGAAAGAAGCTAAATCTGTCATCAATATTAGTATACGTTCAGGGCACAAAGATAATCATTTTTCCTTTGTATAATATGATTGCTCATGTTATAGATAGGTATTTATATGTAATTTGGGGAGAGGTGTGAACATTCATAAACCCATCAGATTCTCAATATATCTTAACACCCCAAAGAGGTTAAAAACTGATACGCTTATAGATAAACCAACTGGCCTAGACTGTAGTATATATAATTTGGTGTATGCTGAAGTCAGTGAAAACTGTGTGGGCAGGTAGGCCTGATACAATAGTCATCTCTGAGAGAGGACTAATTTTATATTTATATGTAACAGAAAATTATTTTGGATTTGGATTCCTGTGCTTCAGATTTCCTAGATAGAATTATAACATCGATTGCAGAAAGCGATTCTAATGTTCTTTTAATTTTCTTCCTGTGTAGTTGATTCATGCTGGTAAGGGGGAAGCCATCAGAATCAGGTCTATTTTGAGATCTCTAATTCCACTGGGAGATTTGGTGGGAGTAATCAGCATCGCTTTTCAGATGCCCACGATAGCCAAAGGTAAGGCCAGCTTCTGTTCCTCGTAATTCAGTAGGACGTTGAATGACATGATGTTCTAAATAATGTTACCAGCACTCACCTACTTCCCTCCTCACTCCCCGAAGTGTGGCTATACTACTTAATTTTCTTTAAAAGAATAAAGAACTGTAAAGTATGTTATTTTATAAAATCTTTTTTATTCTCATTGTTTTTAAAGAGCAGTCTCTGCATTGAGACTTTAATTTTCTTTTACATGACATTGCACACAGTTTCCAGAGAAGAAGAGATATGCACCTCCACTGTCTTCGGTCATGGCCCTGCTGTGTGTTCCTTGGTGCCCATTCACCTCTATCATTCTTGACCTCAGTGCCTTAATTCACACATTTTGATAGTTTCATTGTCACTTTCTTGCAGTGCTTTTGTTTTCAAAGCGGTAATAATAGCTTTTGAATTAGATTTAAACATTGCCTTTGTGGTGAAAGAAGTCTTTTTTTTCAAAACAAAGGATAAAATATTTAAAAAGATTGAAGGAATTATCAAAGATAACTAAAAGAGATATTAGATCCCAAATTATACATTGTTTTTACTTTTTCAAATTTCAGTATTTTTCAGTTTTCAGTACTTTATTGGAGATTTATACATAAATCACTTTTATATAAACTTCTAACTTTAGAATAAAAACATAATTAGGTTAGGAAGTACATGCTCTATATAATTCTTATCTTTCATTAATTATGTCCCAGAGAAGGCAGGCTATTCTAGCTCAAATCTAGAATGAAGGGAATCACTATATACCTGAAGGTAGCTCACCCTGCTTGTCAGTGATATGATTAGGAGAAAGTACAGTGTCATGTGTGCTAACCTGATAACCCTAAGTCCATAAGGTGACAAAACTGCCATAATAATTGAACACTCACTATGATTTTAGGGAAAGCTGGAAATTAAAACTGTCCCTTACCTATGTCGTCCACACCTGAGTCAGTTTCTTTTCCTTATGCATCTACAGCTCACCGTTGTCGTTTGTACCTCTCTTCTAACGCAAGTTCATTTACTTAAGTAGTCGTTTGTCCCTCTCTTCTAATGCAAGTTCATTTACTTAAGTAAAATATCTTTTCCTTCCCTTACATTTTTTTTAGTGTTGATAACATGTTATTGAATGGCATGTCTTTTTTAAAATTTTTAATTGTTATGGGTAGATAATAGTTTTGTCAGGACAAAGATAAGAATAGTACCTGTGACATACAGATTAGGAAATAGGGAAATGCTAAATTTAGTGGTAACGTTAATAAGAACCAAGAACACAGACTGTGAGAATGGCCAGGGGTCACTTCCAGAGTTGGCCCCACCTTCTCCATGTACCCCCTCATTTCCTCCAGTCATCAGCCTTTACTAGCCTTCAAGAGTTTTCAAGTTGCTTTCTTTCCTCTTCTACTTAGTTGTGGTCTAATAATATTATTTTGTGATCTTTTTTCTTCATAAATATGCAGTATATTATCTACATTAGGAGTTAAAGGGGTCTTTTGGTGACTATCACAGTCACAATGAAGGTTAACTTGTAAATGCAATCCATCAGTCGTTGTTAAATTTCTGCGTTTTCCTTTTACTGCTTTCCTTTTGTGTAGAATGTAGACAGAAAGTTGTATATTTTTATATTACTGTGGCTATGCACTTAGCTTTATTGTGGCTATGCTTTCACTGCAAAAATGATACCATCAATATTTCTTTCTCAGCTTCAGTGACAACTCAGTTGGTCTGTAAGCATCACAAAGTAGCAGTAATAATGGTTATGATATGTTCTATATTTAGTATGTGAGGTTTGCCTCTAAAGATTGGTATTTTCCCCTCTTGGTATTGGCTGAGGCCTTCCTCAAACATTTTCATCATTCATTCTAGACCTAGAGTGTGCCCCAAATAATAATGAAAGAGGGAAGGGTTCACAAAACTTGAGGGGCAAGCACTTAATCTTATAGCTTTTGACCCAGACAGATTTGGTCTCCTTGTCTGAGGCAGTAATTGCAGGTGGATGAATACAGCAGGCACCACAGAGTGAAGCCAGAGCTTTATTGGTCTACAATGCATTTGAGGAGATGGTGAAAATAAAACAGCAGTTATAGCCAATCTATGAGTCTTGAGCCCCAAGCAAATGTTGTTGCGGCGTTCATTAAAATGAATGTCTACTTGAATGAGCGTTTAGAAAACAAAGCTTATATTAGGTTCAGTGAGTTGGCTTATCTTTTCCTTAACTATATGTTAAAACAGTAGAATCTGGCTGGGTGCTGTGGCTCACACCTGTCATCCTAGCACTCTGAGAGACCAAGGCAGGAGGATTGCTTGAGGCCAGGAGTTCAACACCAGCCTGGGCAACATAGCGAGACCCCATCTCTACAAAAAATAGAAACGTTAGCCAGGCATGGTGGTGCATGTCTGTAGTCCCAGCTACTCGGGAGGCTGAGCCAGGAGGATCACTTGAGCCCAGGAGGTTGAGGTTGCTGTGATCTATATAGGCATGAAGCATTGACTGCTGATAAGGAAAATAATATGACTCTCAAATATGTTTTAAATGTTGTTAAATGCTTTTATGATTAATGAAACATATTTTATATGAAAGCTATACTAGTTTCCTCATTTTGTTATTGTTCTAAACCATGAAAATGTAAATGTACCAAGATTATTACATAGGGGGACAAGAGCTTAGAGAGGCTGTCCTTCTTGAAAAGAGTGAATATCCCTGCTTTAAGTTTTAACTTTTCATAGTATTCACTCCTAGTTTTACCAGGTAGATTTTGGATATCTTTTTGTTTCTTCTCAGTATCTAACATAATACTATGTCTTCATCATGTGTGCAGTTAACAAGTGGATGCCCAGATAGCATTTAGATAACCTTGGATTTAAATTGCACTACCACATTTCCTCAGCCACTTCTGTGCTCACTTGAGAATAGTAGAAGAATAGAAAACAATTTCGTTGATAACTTTATTTAACGCATTAACTGCCACGTGAGTTGTATTTAACTCATGCTAATTTAGAGCCCAGGGCCTCGTGGAGCATATGTAACTCGCACATCTCTTTACCTTGAGAGCTGCGTGGTATGCAGGCAACTCACACTGCCATGCTGTAGCATACGTGTTACGTGAGGGATGGACCCTGGGCAGATCCCTGCAGTCAGTTCGTGAAAATCTTACTTGTTGATGTTTTTATTGTTACAATTAACATTGACAATTTAATTGCATATAATTCACACACAGAAAACAATAATAAAGTAATAAATTTTTCATTAAATTAGAAAGGGTTGTTTGTTTACAAAGTTTTTATTCTGTTTTCCTAATAAAACACCGTGGCGCCAAGGAAAAAATGTTTTCTAGTGTGGCAGTCAATGTGTTAACCTTGGGGGCTGCAAGAACTGTTTTCCAAGTTGCATATAACTCATGCACAGAAAACAATAAAAAGTAATAAATTTTTCATTAAATTAGAAAGGGTTGTTTGTTTACAAAGTTTTTATTCTGTTTTCCTAATAAAACACCGTGGCCCCAAGGAAAAAATGTTTTCTAGTGTGGCAGTCAATGTGTTAAAACATGAGAAGCCAGGAAAGAAGCCATTTGTAATCTGTCCCACTTATCTCACGGCCATTGACACCAACATTCACTTCTCTCTTTTAGATGGGAATGTGGTGGAACCTGACATGTCTGCGGGGTTTTGCCCAGATCACAAGGCAGCCATGGTTTTATTCCTTGACAGGGTCTATGGAATTGAGGTTCAAGATTTCCTCCTCCATCTTCTCGAGGTTGGCTTTCTGCCAGATCTCCGGGCTGCCGCTTCTCTAGACACGGTATGATTTGGGCAATTGACTCCTTCCACTTTTCATTCTTCAGTCTATGCGTAATGATAATTGTTCATATATATATTCATTCACTTGTCGATTAGCAACAAACATTGAGTACCTGTTATATTTTCAGGCAAGTGGTGGGTAAACAGAAATAAAATAGGCTATGTCCTCAGAAGAATTCACTGAATATAGTTAAACTGACAACCTCAAGAAACTGCCGACCTGAAGAGTATGATAAGAATTCTGATGAGGTGTTATGGAAATCAATAAGAAGCTCATACGTCTCTGATGTGGGAGGTCACAGGGACTCCTGTTAACCTTTGTTCAGTATTAACCTCTAAATTGGCCAAGACTATTATGCTTCTTAGTGTTAATAAAAGCAATTAAAATATTAAGATTTAATAGAAGATTTAAAGAATTAAGATTTAATTGAGTCATGCCAATGACAGTAGCAGCCTGGCGTCTTCATTTGTTAAGGTACAGACAGCTTAAAATCTATCCTGTATGTCGGGTGGCCCACATAGAGAATCTGCCATTGACAATGTAAACGTTCGGCCCTTTGAAACACTGTGGAATAAGCTGAAGTTCCAAATGTTGTTTTAGCAGTTACAGTAATATCTGCTCTTATTTACTTACTTATTTTATCAATTAAATGGGCCTTTTTGATTTCAGGAGAAATCAGATCTTGAGCTGATAATAGCCCTTTCATGAAATCTAAGACAGCAGAATCATAAAAATGAAACAGAAATTTCTTTTTTCTTGTTGTTGGGTGTGTTCACTTGAAATTCTGAATCTTAATAGTATAGATGATAACATAGTAATACAATCAATCAACCTTTGGTTATTGGTGCTGATGGATGTGAACAGAAATATGAATATTATTAATAAATAGAGTTCAAAAGAATTTTTGAATATGAGATATATTATGAGAATAAGCACCTTTCTCCTGCCCTAGCAAAGGAAAACACTCATACCTTTAGTATAATTAGTGTCCTTATCTTACATTGACACTACCATGGATATTTTATGAAAGAACCAGAACCTCTTGGATCTTTTGAGGAGATAAGTATCATTTCATTCATTTTTTTATCTATTTATGAACAATTGATAATTGTTTTTAGTGGTAAAGAGCCTATGAAACACATGTAAAGATATAACTAAGGAATATATTTCCGTTTTTCATACTGTTGTCATTTTCTAGATAGTGAAATTATATGTCAACAGGTTGATCCCTTTGAAGGTTGTCCACTGTCAGACACAAATGGCTTTCTACTCTCCAATTCCTTTTTAGGCTGCTCTGAGTGCTACAGACATGGCCTTGGCCCTCAATCGGTACCTTTGCACAGCCGTCTTGCCTTTGTTAACAAGATGTGCTCCTCTTTTTGCTGGCACGGAGCACCATGCTTCCCTCATTGACTCATTGCTTCATACTGTGTATAGACTTTCGAAGGGCTGCTCACTTACCAAAGCTCAGCGGGATTCCATAGAAGTTTGTTTACTCTCTATTTGTGGGTAAGTGGGCAACTGACTCTATGCCGACTTTCTTCTTCTTTAAGAAAGAGAATTTATGATGTGGTCTCTGACAAATTATTTCGAATTTTGAGAATAATTTCTGTACCAAAAAATTAATTCATTTTAGGTAGTCTTGTGTATTAAGAGATATGAGTCTTCTCGGAGTGCCCTTGCCTGCTGGTCAACTTCAGGAGTGTTCCTCCAAGCCTCCCTAGGGTATCTAGCTATTGGACGTAGCCTCTGACCAGTTAGAGAATACTGTTCTGGATGTTGCGATTAGGGAGCGATGGTGTCAGAAGTCCCTGGCCACTTTAAGTAATATTGATAGATTCTCCCCTTATGACTATTTTGACTGTGCATGATGATTTTAATTCCTCATCTAGAAGAGAGAAGAGGACTTATTAAATATAAAAATGATACAATGTAACATTAAAGCATATTTATGTGTGGCAATGATGAAGGCTGAATATTTCCTCTAACCTGGAAAACCATGTCCTGTGAGTAGACATGTTCAAATGTCTTACTGTGAAAACCAGAAACATACTTCCACTTGCTGAAGTTTTGACAATGAAGGTGACGGTTTCTCAAGCCCCTCATGAGGCAATGGCTTCCTTCTAATTGCTCAGGAATTCTTGGTGGTGAAGGCCTGTAGCCTGCAGTTCATGAGGGAAGACCAGGTTTTCATCCATGGGGGAGTGTGTGCATCAAAAGCCAGATGAGACTGAGGGAAAGTAGAACGTAGGGAGAGGAGTTCTGTAATGTCCCTGCCTTAGTATTCTGCAGAATGGAATCCAAATACCTCTCTCAGAGTTTTTCTAAATATTAGATGAGGTGAAATGCTTGGTGTTGCCTAACACAATGGATGTTCACCATGTATTAGTTTTCTCTTTCTTCCCACTCTAGCAAAATTGCTATTTCAGCCTTTTTTTTTTTCCTCCCTCCTGTTCCTATACACCCTCTTCTTTCTGCTTCTCTTCATCTACCATCCACTGCAGTGAGGGAAGAGGCATTTACTAAAATTAATAGAGGATGGTCTTAGGAGGTAGTGGGATCTGCAGTTTTGAGTGGTTTAGGAAGAAAAGGAGCAGAAGAGAAACATCTATAGCAAAGAAAGGATAGCCTTCAGATCTGAGGAATATAGATGAGTTGGGAAATGTAACTTCATATAAAATTAAATAACTCTTAGCTAATCTTTGGACTAGGAACGCCTAATTAATACCATCTGCAGGGAGCTATAGATACATGTTCTTGGCTTATATGTTAGTCTAATGAATTATCTACTTAGGCACATTTCTCTTCATTATTGAAATTAACTTTGTTCCAACAGCCAGTTGAGGCCTTCAATGATGCAGCACTTACTCAGAAGATTAGTATTTGATGTTCCATTATTAAATGAACATGCAAAGATGCCTCTTAAGGTAAGTACAGGAAATGTTTGTAGTTATTTGATTACTGGTTACTCTGACTTGATTTCCTGTTATAACATGTGCATCTCTTAGATACATCATGCCAGGTCATTGATGCTGGAAAATTTTCAATATTCAATTATTTAAATGGGCATATATGTTATAGAAATGTGTGTATCAACTTTTAATAAACAACTAATAAAAGATCATAGACATCCTAAGACTGATTTCCATGGAAATTAGTGGAAATAGACATCAGTGGGGAAAAACAGACCACAAGGAGAAGAGAAGCCAAGATACTCTTAAGCGGGAAAACATGGTAATAGGCCTCACCTAAAATATTATTAGCTGCCTCCAGGGATAAAGAGCATGCTTCAAAAACAACGTATTCTGAGTTAGTAATCACATGATGGGTTCCAATTACCACTTGCTAGAATTCAAAGATGATCTCTGTATATGCAGTTACAGTTTGTCACATAGCATAGAAAAGCCACTGATATTTTCTCTGCCCAGCTTTTTTCTATTCTGTTCATGATCAAGTCTCATTCTGCCTTACTGAGTTGCGAATGTTTTCCTGTCATTTAATATCTTAATCTCTACTCAGGATATAGTCTGTGCGTCAGGATTATATATAATAGTAATGTGATGGACTTTTTATAGGTGACCACTCTGCAGTGCCATTTGGTAGGCTTCATTTTTTCCTAATGGCTACCCAGTAATAGTGCTGTAGGAAAGAGGTATGAAATATGAATGAATCTATTTTTTGAGCTGTTGCACTAAGCATGCCTGGATATTTAGCAAAAATAATTTTTCTCTGTGAGAATTGATTTTGGTTTCATTAAGTCTAGATTCCATCAATTCATGAGTGAATTAATAAAATGTGGTATATGTACACCATGGAGTACTACTCAGCCATAAAAAATGAATTAATACCTTTTACAACAATCTGAGTGGAACTGGAGACCATCCTCCTAAGTAAAGTATCGCCAAGAATGGAAAAACAAACACCACGTGTACTCACTATACAATGTGCACTATCTGGGTGATGGGCATGCTTATAACTTTGACACAAGCAGTACAAAAGAAATCCATGTAACCAAAATATTTGTACCCCCATAATATTTTGAAATTAAAAAAAAATACAAGATGAAAAAATACTAAGTCTAGATACGTTAGTGAATGAGGTAAATTATATTCTTGCTAAAAAATAAATCCCATTTTTACAGTTTTTATTATCTGGAATAGCTTTTGCCATGCATAATTTTCTTGATACAAATGAGCTGGAAGAGCCCTGAAAAAGATACAGTCTCGTGTTCTTAATTTTATGTGATAAAACTCTTCCACGTTATAGATATTTCAGTGTTAAGCCAAGCAAATTAGTTTCAATATTTCATCATCTGTGATTCCTAAATTGTGTGCATGTGTGGATATATTCATGTTTTGTAACTGAATGCAAGACTGAGATGAAATATTTCAACAGTAAGAGGTGTCATTGGCTTTAATAACAATAATCCTTAAAATTTATTTTCTTCCTTAGATACAGAAAAGAGTCCAAATATTTATAATTGATTCAATACAGATCATTTTATTGATTTGACAAATGCAGACCAAGAATAAATTATCCAAAGAGCCACCTTATCTTTGAACTTCCAGTTTGGTTCCAAACAATGTATAATAAGTAGGTGAAAACCTGAGGAGCAACATAGACGCTCAGATAATAAATTGCATCCATAACACCAAAAAAGTATAGATAAAGAAATGATTCAAGTAGAGCAGTTTTGCAACTTCACTTAGAGAAGCAAGTTTTGAGACAAATCATAAAGTGTGTTGGGTAAGACAGAGAGGGACCAAAAATAATCACAAATGTATAATTCCCTTACTGTGCTCTGGGTCACCCTGGCATCAATCCCTTTGTTTTACATGTGAATTCCGAGATAACAATTCATAAAATTGTGAGTAAATGATAACAACTGAAGTAGAAATCGGGGATCGGTCATTGGATATACAACCACCCATAAAGAATGCTGTTCAGTATACAGCCATTTGTAAAACTTGGCGTTTGGTCTTCATACTGTGATCAGTGTTAAATTTTAAAGACACATAGTATACAAGGTGGCAGTATTCTCCAAGAGAATTCAGATGGGATTGAGCATTTTCACTTCAGTTTACCTTACTGCATAGCATTAGAATGCCACATGAGGGGAAATGGAAAAAAATATAAAAGATGTCTTTAAGCTCACTGCTTTTATAATTGTTTCCCATATAGCTGCTGACAAACCACTATGAAAGATGCTGGAAATATTACTGCCTGCCTGGAGGGTGGGGAAACTTTGGTGCTGCCTCAGAAGAAGAACTTCATTTATCAAGAAAACTGTTCTGGGGCATTTTTGATGCCCTGTCTCAAAAGGTAATTTAATGTTTTGTGGATTTATTTGTATTGGTAAAATAATAAAAAGTCATAGGTCCTGGGTAAGATGATATTCCACCAGAAATACTATCAAACTTATAGAGCTTTACTTTTTTCTCTTTTCTCAACTTAATAACAAATGTTGAGAATACAATTTATATGATTTTTCTTAATCATTATGGTAGCATTTGCCTTGTGATCATAACACAATTTGTGAATTTAAAATGGCTAAGCAGTTCAGGAAATTATTCACATGGTTTACAAGTTTCTGGTGCATTTGGACTTACTTGGACTCAAACTCTTCCTAGTCACATCTGCAATCTTATAAACCCTGATGAAATTATATTGAATATAAAAATATAGAATATTATAAAATTATATTCCAGTGACCTAATAAATTCTCCTGCTTTGCTGCTATGAAGATTTAAATATTGCCACTCTATGTTTCTTTGTATATGAGACATTCTCTTATAGTTGCCATATTTATAATGAATAGCTCATATATTTTCAGATGACTGGAGGGTAATGATTTCAGGGAAAAATCTGAAGATCATGTTTTGTATGTTCATGCTTAAATTAATCAAAATCTGTTTGAATTCCCAGGTAGATATTAATAAGATGATTGTGGAGTAGTATAACCATAAGTTTGCTACATAATCAGGGAAAGTTAATATGTGATTACATTTGGTAGCTACATTTTGATGCCTTTTCTTAGTGAATTTCCTTTGGTAGACTGAATCCTTTAAAAATAATGTGTAGGTATTTTTAGAAACATTATACTTATTTAAAATTGAACATTTAAAGTGAGATAATATTTGAAATGGTTATTTTTAATTTTCTAGAAAATCTATAATTACAAATTTAACTAATTATATAATTAATATGCAAATACTTTTTCCCAGAAATTTTTATTATACATACTTCCTATAGAATTTTTTCCCAGTTCAGAATTTTATTTTTCATACCTTTGAAATGCAGTATAGATCAGTTAAAATTTCTCACTCTCTGGAATGTTATCCTTTACATATAGTAATTTTAACATAGGACAGCAATAATCTATAACTAAGTGTAAAGAATGCAGTCCTCCTTGAAATTATGTTTATGTTATAAAGACATTTTATATTCAATATTAGAATATTGAAGTTTACATCATTTCAAATATATTGAAGAAGCAAAGATTTTATTCTCCTTAAACTGTAACTGCAGTAAATCTTGCTGCAGTTTCTCTTATGTTTGATGGGATTTCAGGTTATATGTTCCATTTTCCAGAGAAAGAATCATCAATCAAGGAGTTAAATTAGCCTGGGATAATGCAAATTTTCTTCTACTACATTGTATCAGGCATGGTGATCATACTGACAACTTTTGCCATAGAATAATAATTTTTTTTTTTTGGTCCTCCATTTTTTCCCAGAAATATGAACAAGAACTTTTCAAACTGGCACTGCCTTGCCTGAGTGCAGTTGCGGGCGCTTTGCCTCCAGACTACATGGAGTCAAATTATGTCAGTATGATGGAAAAACAGTCATCAATGGATTCTGAAGGGAACTTTAACCCACAACCTGTTGATACCTCAAAGTATGGACTCTTTCTATTGCAGCAGATTTTTATTGTAAATGATGTGTGAAGTCTGAAATTGAATAAGGTACTAAAGTGAACTTTCTCTAATACATGCCCCCTTTGAATTGGTATCCTTTTAATAGGGGTCCCTTTAATTTATCAAATGGTAGTCATAATGATTATATTAATATCAGAAATAGATAAGATGCACCTTCTACGATACTCTTAACATAATTAGGATTTTCTGTATATAACTACATGGTAACATCTATAATAATAATTAAGAAAGTATATTAGTTATAGTTTTAGTTGAAAATTTACCCTAAATGTTTATTTATACAGCCTCTGTATAGCATCTTTTACTTAAGATGATCCCAGCATGCACTGCAAAGCTATTTGTACGAGTGCCAGGGAATCACTTCACCCTTCACTGCATCTCAGCAAGGCACAGGGTTAACAGCAGATGTTGCACCTCAGCAAGCACAGCCTGAGATTGAAGAGAATGTCAGATGAGAATTTTTGTGGAAAATTTAGCATGCACTTACAATGCAGTTTGACTAAAGCTAAAACAATATTAGTCCACATTGTGAAACTTCTTACATGTACTTAGTTGCATAAATTATTCTACAAATACAGTGTTTGGGTACTTCAGGTGATTGAAGTCTCAGCATTTTGTTGTCATTGATGTCTTTGAGTAGGACCATGGTTCTCCATTTGCAAGGAAAGCTGCCTCTTCATGCCACATTATCTTACTGATTCCGTGGTGACTCAGCAAGATCAGTTTTAGCAAGGTAGTCACTTGGTAGTTATTATCCACGGCTTCTGAATTTGCTTGGGAATTCAACTTTGAGGTTTCTGAGTGGCCCCAGCTGGTTTAGCTTCCATAACCAGATCAAAATTTCAACCTGAGTGGTATGCCATTAGTTTGATAATGTCTTAAATTTGCATGTTTGGTATTTGATGACAGTCCTGTGAGAAGACTCTCCCTCCCCTCCCCCACCCCAGTATTTGGCTTATCTAATTGATTTTTTGTATCTCTTCCAAAGTAAGTAAACCAAAATATCACATGTTCACATTCCTACATGGGTAAGTTTGTGGTTTGCTAACATATGATATATTATCCAGGATTTTAAAACAACATCAGAACAATGTCATGGTTTTGGTGTTAAATCCAATTAATTAATAAGTATGGGCATGTATATTAATTTATCTAGGTTTGCCTCTTTGGGGGCTTCTTAACAGATATAGATTTACATGGCAATATCAATAATTTCTATATGATCGTGATTTTTATATATTGCTTCTTTATATGTCCTATAGTTCAATTACTGATAACTTTGCTGGAAAAGAACAGTAAATCATCTTATTAGACTAGATTTTATTTAGAATTTTATTCTCAAAGTCAATTGCTTTAATGAGTATTCATTAATGAATGGAGTTATAGAGATATATATTTAATTTTCCATTCATAGGTATATTTGATGTTCCCAAGTCTTACATTTACCATCAGACTTGGTCATCAATTGCATGCACTCGACATCTGTTCAAAGGATTAAATATTTATTTAAACATAAAAGGACTCAAGAATAATTATTGTCAAAATCATAAAGCATGAGTTGGTTAGTTACTTTTCCCTATAGTCAATATTAATAACATTTAGAATATTATACATGGGCTATTAATATTTAAAATTATTAACACATCACGAGTAGTATGAAATTAATTTAAACAGATTGTATTTCAGCCATCTTTTTTCCATTTATAGTTGTTGCAAAAGAGACTTAAGTCAAACAGGGAGAACTTCAAAGAAGAAATAGGGAGAGAAATGTGTCTTTAAGCTTATTGAGTCTAACCATATCTTGACTTAGGGTTTGTTTTTTCTTTTCTATATAGTCTATTGTGCTCATCTTTGAATCTGTTTTAATTATTTTAAATATTTAATAATTAATATATGTATATTTAATTTGTTATATTAACACATAATAAAATATGAGGCAACATAAAATGAGCAGATAGAACATTATCAGCTTGACTTTTTTATATTCTGAAAATACGAAAAAATAATAACTTTGTTAAAACTATTTTTTAACAGCTATGCATTGTTGGGATCTAAGTATTCATAAGCTGTGAGCAAATTATTAATATGATTTCCTGTAAATTATATGAAAATCATCTTTTGTTCTTTACTGTTTTCATAGTATTACAATTCCTGAGAAGTTGGAATACTTCATTAACAAATACGCAGAACATTCCCATGACAAATGGTCAATGGACAAGGTAAAAGTCAGATTTACATTCTAATTCAGTTGCCATTATTATTGACTGGTCACCGCTCTAATATTTCTGACTCTGACAGGTTTTGTTAAAGTAAGAGCTGTATGTTAATTAGAAAAGAACATTTAATTACAATTTGCTAATACAATAATTAGCTAGTTCTGCCATTAACGTATGATACACATATGAATAAGAATAATTGTGTTCATAAAAACCACAATTTTAAGAACATTTAATTACAATTTGCTAATACAATAGTTAGCTAGTTCTGCCATTAACGTATGATACACATATGAATAAGAATAATTGTGTTCATAAAAACCACAATTTTAAGATTATAAAACATCTATTAATTAAATCATAAAGATAATTTCTAAATACATATTGTTCATGGAGGTAAAAAGTCACATTCACCAGGAACTTCAGGAGGAAGTGGTGAACTCAGCATCAGAATTCACCTTTTAAGGAAACTTTGGTTTTTTATGTAGTTTTATATTAGATAAAACCTTGAAAATTCTTAATCAGGATTTAACGTTTCCCCCTTCTGTTGTATTTCTTACTACCAAGTAGATTTGCAGTTCACTAAAAATAGATTATGTTGGCCAGGTGACATTTTTATTTGTGTTTTCAAGAAAAACAGCCCAAATGAGAAAACTAAAGTAGCTGTATCTATATGAGATAATTCCTACATATTATGAGATTCCCTAAAGGAAACATTGTACCTGAGTATTCACATGTAAGTTGAGCCAAGTTTAAACTTGACAGAGGATGGTTAAGCTAGGTTTGTCCGAGAAACTGAGTTGAGATGGTTCAAGAATCTAAAATACACATGATTTGGTGATGTAAAAATCAAACAGCAAAGGTTCTGAAGGACACTTGTGTCGTGTAACAACTCAGTATCATCATGCTAGAGACCTTACATTCAGTTTCAGAGCTTACCCTGGCCAGCCTAGTCCCTTACCCCCTCTAAGAAACTCTTTTTTGTTTGTTTTGATAAATGTGTGGTTCTTTGTTCAGTAATTAACTGATTTACTCAGTAAACCAGTGAGGGTCTCTTTTCCATAAAGACTCCATTCCATACTGAGCAGGTGGAGTTAGTGATGGAGAAGATAGTCCTGAGCTTTTCCAGGACTGAGTTATCTGGATTCCATATGCAGACATCAGATGATACAGGGAAATAAATGGTGATGTGTACACGTGAGGAAAATAATGTGGAACGAATATATTGAGATAATTGGATATAAACAGGTAGCATTATTTAGGGAAGCTTCTAAGATGAATACTCCAGTTTTCCTGTTTAAAATGAGTGTTTCAGATACACACCTGACAGGTGAGGTCCTAAGATATGTCTGAACAAATCGTGGAGACCAGACTGTACATCCTTGTAGCCTCCTCCTAGGGGCCGTGCTTATTGGCACAGTCGCAGACTCGGGTCTGTTTAAGAAAGACAGAGTGCTTCCAATCTCTGGATAATAAAAGGACTTTTTCCAGATGATTACTGAACATAACATTGATTAAGATAGAGATATTTATATTCATTTATGCTAGATAAAATTTAAACTTTAATTCTTATGTTGGTTCATTTTAGGGTTATTTTATCAAGCACACACTTAAATACATGCACACACCTACACTCTCTAAAATTAATACGTGTAAAACAATTTTTGGTGTTTGTGTTTCTTTAGTTGGCAAATGGATGGATTTATGGAGAAATATATTCAGACTCTTCTAAGGTTCAACCATTAATGAAGCCATATAAACTGTTATCTGAAAAGGTAAGGGTTTTTTGTTTGTTTTAGTTTATAGGGTTTTAAGATTTTTG